TCTTAGTTACGCAAATCAACGACGACAATATGGTGATCAACGAACTAGGAAACGAAGGTTACTGCTTTTTATGCAATTTTTCTTGCACGTCCAACGACGAGCCGTAACACATTTTCAAGCAACTTCTTGCTTGACCAAGGAGAGAAAGACACTGCTCGTGTCCTTCGTATCACGGTCGTCGCTACGGCTGGATCCTCGAGCTCGAAAAATCCTGCCAACGTTTTCTTTTCGACCCGCGTCACTCGCCGGTAACACGCGAGAGTATCGTACGAGATCGTACATCGAATTGAACCGATCCACGAGCGTGTACACCCAATCGTAATCACTTGTCGTCTCACGGGGTACATCTTATCGGGATATCGATGCTTCCAATAATTACTCGGAATAATTGACGGGGTTGGTTAATTAATAAGCGCGGTACACGGGGTACAGAGGCCAATAAACCGGCGGCGACGATAAATAGGCTTGTTCCTATTCTCGTATATGCGCTTATGCCTGTCCCCTATCCTTATGGGTTACAATTACGGGTGGAATTAATTAATCGTATCTATAACTGGTTTATCGTCGAATACAGAGAGGCATGTTACGGTGAATTTATCTTAAAGATGTTGGCAGAGTATGGAAATTATTTGAAATACGTATTCCCCTTACACGATCGTTTTTATTCGTTGCATGGACAGAACAGGCTAGTATATTCATAGAAATTAAAATCAATTGTAAAAAAAATCCCAAAGAGAGACTTCTATGAAAAAGATTCAACGATAGAGAATCTTCCCATAAAGAATCTTAGAACGACGAAATTCGATCAATGTCGAAATTATTCATTATATAATAGAATAATCAAGTATACATCAAGAAAAAATCCCAAAGAGAGATTCCTCCAAAAAAAAGATTCAACATTACAGAATCTTCTCATAAAGAATTAACGAAGAATCTTAGAATGACGAAATTCGATCGTTGAAAATCGATAACATAAGATAGAATAACCAAATATATATCAAGAAAAAAATTCCAAAGAGAGATTCCTACGAAAAAAAGAATTCAACACTAAACAATCTTCCCATAACGAAGAATCTTAGAATGACGAAATTCGATCGTTAAAAATCGATAGCATCTATACATATATTCACGTTATTTCTTATCATCTATCTATCAACCGTCGAACGAATCTTTCATTCGACGAGGAAAGCTTAAGAATAATAAAGAATCTTAGAATCTTAAAACTCGGTCGTTACCTACGTTTCATCTACGAGCATCGTAGCCTCCTCCTACGCGGCTTTGTGCAGCGGAACAGGAAGAGAAGGAACGGAGGGGGGGAGAGAGAGATATCGTCCGTGATCGTTGTAAGAACCGGGAATATATATCGACGCCAATAAAGGATCGATAACGATATAAATCGAGATATACGGATGGGTACACGGGCGGTACTTGTACCGAGGAGGATCCGACATGAGCGGCCGCTTATTACGAGGTTGAAGAGTCCGTTGGCCGGGCAGGGTCGTATCATGGGTGGTCCGCCTGCTATGCTAATCCGCGCGTCCTTGCGCGCGTCATCGGCCTGCGTGTCGAGAATCTGACGGAAATTTCGTTGAAAATCGTTGGCCGGGTGGTGGTAGTTACGTGGGAAAATCGTCCGGTCGTCCTTGCGGTGAATCGACAGGTTTGGACAATCGATGAAGTCCCAATTTGACTAATTTGCCCTGTTAAAAGGCACGAAGGACGATGTAATGTTTTAATTAATTTTCGTCGGCTTGGCCCAGCGGGCGTTCCCCGATGAGTTATGCCCGATAATTACAGTGTTCGGTCACGGTGTCTCTGGCGGGATTGGACGCGAAGGCTAATTGGGCCTCGTAATTTTTGATCGTAATTTTTAACCCCCTTCCTCCATTCACTCGTCGCTCTTCTTTGGGAACGTCTCGAACAAGGATATATCTTGCCGGATATCCGAGTATCGAATGTGAGATATCGTTCAACGATGACTCGATCATGTAATATAATTTCGCTATGCATGTGTTACAGATTATTCGTTGGTTGTTTATTTATTACGTCGAGTGTTTTTTTGAGCGATTAGTTAATCTTCGAGCAACGATTACATATTTATATATTGAAAATCTTCAAAAGAGAAACAATTTATTGGAATATTTATTATCATGATTTTCGTTTAGATATCTTTTAACCCGATAAAAGGACTGCTTCAACATAGAAGATGCCTTACAATATCCCTATAATATTAAGGTATTCCTTAAGTTTCTCTCTTTTTTGTTGGTACGAAGTGAATACACGATATTTATTGTTTAAGGTTTAATTTATTGCGTTGTATATGAATCGTTCTGCTCTATCACCTTCTTCCATCTCTCAGAAAACCTCATTATTCCCTTTTTCCAAAATTATTAAGATTTATTTGTAAAATATTCCTCGAGGTGCGTTTTTATTTCGCTTACGGAGAGAATTTTTTAATAACAAGTAATAATCGAATAGAGCATCTGGAGAATACAGAAGATGCGATAGAATGTCTCAATCAACATGTAACAATCTCTTTTCTCTTACAATCAATGCAACATACAATTTTGCATTGTCTGTGTGATAGCCTCGTCGCTTCCCCAATTTTCCTTCTGACTATATCTTTCAATTTATCAAGCTGATTGCAATATTAAAAAATATTTGAAATAACGAGCTTGCTCCAAATATCGATTGTTGCAAATAAAACACAGATAAAAATACGAAACTTCCCTTTCGAAGGGAGGGAGAATCGCTTTATCGTGCTATCATCATTCTCGCCGTTCTTTCCTGAACGCATTGCGTAAGCGAGGCGTTTAAATGCAAATTCCATCGCGATGGGAGACGCGGTGGTTTCGAGACGCGGGAGAAGCGGCCGCTTTGCTCCAGAACCGCTGCGAAAGAATGTCGTCGTCCGGTGGCGGCTCGCTTTCGAAACCTTTTAGCTCGGATGCCGATCCGCGCGCGGAAAAATCGCGTCTCTCTCTCTCTCTCTCTCTCTCTCTTTCTGGGCGTCGAGAAAGTGTGGACGATGCACACGCGTGGCGGGGAAACGACGATTATCTAGTGTCCGGTGTTGGAAAATAATATCGTGCCGCGCGACGAATAATATAAATAAATAGCGCGGATGTATTTGTATTTGGAAATCGCATTTTAAACGGTGATCGATGAGGTCAATTGGCAAGTTTTTCTCTTACGTTTCCCCTCGTATAAAAAGCGTTTGCGTTTGATTTAAAATTAAACGTTTCTTACGTTGTCTTTCTTTTTCTTTCTTTTTTTGTCGCGTTTATATACGTATTATTATATTTATCCTTACAGATATTGTTTCAAGTTTATTTTCCAGTGAAGATACTTATTATAGATACGTATTATTAGATAAATTATCACTTGTTTGCGAATTTAATTTCGAAATTGATAAGGTAATGAGTTAGTTTAAGTAATAATTTTATTTAAGTAATAATTCGTTCTTCGTGCAACTCGAGCCGATGTTTCGAGTTATTCTTAACTTCAAAATTTTCTCCTATTTGTATTAATTGGAAAATGAAAATTTCAGGCTCGTGCTGTAAATTAAACAGGGAATAGATGGAACGTTTGATGAGAACCGAGCCAGTGTCATTGCCAACGTTACAATTTAATTCAAATAACGTTAAGAAACTAGAAAACGGAGAATTATATTAATCCACGCGATTCAACTTATTTATTTATTTGGAATGGGAGATCCATCAACTATCATGATTCAACGCTTTGCCAACGTTCCTCCATTTTACGACACTTTGACTACCACTATATAACCCGTTTTAATTATTCAGACAAGTTATAGACTCGTTCGTTACTGCCTTCCCTGGATCGAGCGCATTACGAATAACAAGCTCGTAAAATCTCGTGAAGACGTGAAGAATGCAGATTCCTCCTCGGTGTGCGATCACGGGGCCGTTGCAAAATACCTTGAATAACGATAGGATCGGGTCGCAATTGGATCGATAGAGGGACACGTGGCCTAGCGTCTAGTCACCGGCCTCAAGTTCGCCAAGATCCATCCTTAATTAACCTGAGAGAATCGCGAAGAATGCCGTGACTCACTTTGATCGTGTCCTCGCGCGTTCGGGAATAAAGGCGATGTTTTTCGTAGCGATTTAATTAAGTCGTCGATTTCCTCGAGTCATCGTCAGGGTTGAACGTGGGCCGAACAAAAGGACGACGCGTCGTCTTGGAACGCGGAAGGATGTCGAAAGATCGTGCGCTCGTAGGAGGCCTATATCTGTCGCCACGATGCCAAATAAATACGTCTCTTTCCTCAAATTTCTTTCTCATTTCGTAAATTCGAATGGATTTATATTTTACGTTTCTTTTATTTTACTCAATCAATTTGATTCTTTTAAGCTTCGATATTTTTAGGCTCGAATTGGAGCTCGAATTAATAAAATTTAATCATTATTAGAAAACTATGCAGAATTGCAGAAAACGAATCTTCCTGCGAACAAAACTTTTTGAAACTTTCCCAGATTTTGATCTATAAATCGTGAAATCCAATCGGAACGATACTTGAAACAGAGTGTCTAAATATGAGGAAAGGAGCGAGTCGATCTTCGAATAGGGAGATCGATTGCGAAACAATCGATAAAGGTGTGTCGCCCGGATAACCCGGAATTTCGTCACATTTCACATTTGCGTCAAACTCGCGCGCTTGGAACCGGTTCGCGCTCTCGGCGCGTTATGATATGACCGCGCGCGAGAGAGACGATCGATCCGGTGGCACGATAAATCCATCGATAAGCTCGATAATTACGCTCACGATGCGCACCGATCTCGTCCGGCTACCGCGCATTTAAACGTCTCCTTTTGCTCCGCGATTTCCGCCCCGAGTAAATCGAGTTACGATTCCATTTCCGGCCGATACAAATTACCAACAGTTAATACAAATTAGCTACGAGTTTATATCTTCGATTAAAAAGTTGCTCGAGTATCCTGCTCTCGAAGTGGACGCCAGCTGTTTTCGAAACTTGTCCGTTAATTTAATAGTATTCGAGTGCAAAGAAATTCGTTTTATTCTCCTTACGAGTAATTCGTAATTCGCGTTTTACGTGTTCGTAGATTTTCGTAGATTTCAATTTTCCATTGTTCTCGTTTTACCACGTATAAAGTAAATTGTCTAAAGTCTTTTTTTTTTAGATGTAAAGGATGTTTGGAAAAGTAACAACAATCTCGAAACTCCAAAAGCAAAATTATCCCTTTATTACTTATTCATTTTACAAATATATTTCAAAATCCGCCCGTCCCTCGAAGACGACAAGAAACACTTCTTTATCTAATTCTCGCTCCAAGCTCGAATCTTGAAAAAGCATAAATGGACGACAATAACAAACTCGATTTATGCCGTGGCAACATACGAAGAACTGGCTCTCGAGTAATCGCTTATCCATTACAAGATTAGATATCTCTCGCTCGACCGGTGCCATCCCTCGTGCATGCAGCGATTTTCCATCCGCTCGCGTCCATGCATACTGGCGGACGAGTAACGGGTTCCTCGGCTCGCTCCTCTCAGGATTCGAGTTCCGTGACGAGTTCCCCGGTCTACGCACAGCTCGCGTTCCGAGGGCGGAGCAGTGACTCAGAAACGAAGGGATCGAGCACGAGTGTTGTCCCGTGGCGGGCGATAATCTCGAGTGGTCGAAGGGGGAAAAAAAAAAAATGGCCGGCCCACCGTTCTACAGCTCTAGGTTGGAGATCGTGTAGGCAGTCGTGGGTCAGTCGTCTCGATCGGTTCGGTATCGGATGCTACGGACACCGATCGTAATGTCCACGCCTGGTAATAGAGAAGCGAGACCAAGTGTCCATGGAATCCTCCGCCTTCCAAATCGTCACGTGGGTGGGAAGATAGGATCTCTCTCTCTCTCTTTCTCTTTCTGAATCGAGCTCGACTTACGGCTTCCGTCCGTTCAAAGGAAACACCAACCGTGTGTTTCACGCCCGCGTTCGAAGATTTTTTTTTTGAAAAGAGGAGAACCCGGCATTAGGTGAAATCTTAGATCGGATTGGAGGATTGTCGTGGTAGATCGATTTTAAATCTTCCGCGAGATTCGATTCTCACAGTGTAGATAGAATTGGACGTTTAACGTGAGGATTTTATTTAATTTCTTTTTTTCAAGTTTTAAAAAATTTTAATCAAACTTGTTCCTTCGAATTCGAATTCGTAAAAATGGGATGACACTTCAATTTTCAACACGTTGACTTTTCCTTACTAGATGAAAGAAAGAAGAAAAAAATTGTTGACTGGGATTCGATCGACGAAAAGGAAATGGCCGCTTTGGTGAACGTGCGTGCCAGTCACGTGCGTCCGCGCCAGTAGATACGCACCGTCCTTATCAGACACAGAGCGGTTCCATTCGAGTTTTCGATGATTCATCCAACTTGGCATTACAGGTCTCGCTTAAAAGGAGAGTGCTGTGATACTGTGGATGAAAACAAAGCGTCCAGAAGGAATGTTTTGTATCAACAAATTAAACGGAGAGAAACCTCCTGTATCCACTTTTCTATTCGTCGCGATTCTATGCGCATCGAAAATTTCCCGAAAGAAACATTGATATCCGATTGATTATCTCCGACAAATTATACGGTAAGCTCATTGGGCTTAACCCAATACCAGGATCGAAGACATACCGTTGCAACATTCGGCCGAACATAACCTGGAATTAATATAACCTCAAACTGCACATTGTATCCAACGTTATATCCCCGTGGCTATAGGTCTAGCGCAATCTAAGATCGGTGTAATCTAAAGATAGCCAGAATCGGTCCGTGGCCGAGCATGAACTAGGATTAGTATAACCAGGAAGTGTCTGAACCCTGGCCACGACGTTATCTGCCTATAACTTAGAATCCTAGCGTCTCTTACGATTAACATGTTCCTATAGTGTATATAGTGTCCGGTCCAACCACAGATATCCTAATACGATCGAGAATTAGCGTGCTCGAAGAGAAATCGTCGAGACATGGTGTATCAAACGATTCCTCGTAAAATTGTAAAATTCGTTACACGACGGGAAAGGATTTTCGAACGGTAGGATTCGAGGGATGAAGAAATGTTATTACGCGAGGGTGACACATGCACATGGAGGAATGGCGGCAACGGATCTTGCGGCCGAGTTTCGAACACGAGTGATAGTGACACGGAGCACGAGTTGTTCTCGCTTCCTTGTTGGGGTCCCATATATACATCGTTCGCCATTATAAATTAAAAGCGATTCGAAATACAGCGGCGTAGCACCGCTCGATTTCGCCTCTGGCCTCGATCCGATCTACACGCCCTTAAATTGTGAAATTTTCATTGTCTATTTTTCGACATCCATCCACCCCCTCTTAACTAAACGCAGAGATCGTAAATAATTATTTCGCAAGTTGGTTGCAATTTCTTGAAGAAATTAATCTGCGATATAAAGTTT